CACTCCCCTCCGCGGTGACGTCACGCGGTGACGTAACGCGCAACGCTAACGTAACCGTAATCAACGTCCTACTGTGACGTGGCACTCATTACGCCACAGGCAAGCACTGCGGCTGTATAAGTGGATGCACAGTGCGTATCGATCAGTTCGAGTTCAGTTCGAGTTCCAGTGTGGCTACCGCCGAAGACATTCCGAGTTATAAAGTAACAGCCAGCCGACTACAGTTGGAGTATAGCAGCCGTCGCGGTAAGAAGATCCGGACGTGTGTGCGATTGTGTAATTGGGAGCGTGTGATACAGTGATACATAGCTCCCCTACTGTCAACGTGTATACTACTGAAGACAGAGTGAACTGATTTGCGCATAGGGTTAGAAATCGTGAAACCCCGCAACAGTGTTAACAGATTAATGCGATTAGGGTTATAAAGTGTGAAACCCCGCAACTGTGAGATAATTAATTGTAGCCGTTATTTGTAGATTGTTAAATAAACCAATTAACCATCTCTACGGCGTCTTCGGTAACGAAACACGTTACAATATATTTGTACTGCAGTGACTTTCCTAGGCGTTCCATAAAATATTTTTAATTGCTAGCCTATGTTCCTTATTTTGGAGGGGAGGGGGAAATGTGGGCTTATAACAGCATCTGGCTCTTGGTGTGTGTATCAGTAGGTTAATTCTCCCCCTCCCCCACTTTTGAAAGCCTGACCCGATCCCTATCAAACGCTTAGCTCAACAGCGTACAGGTACTTCACATGTCAATCCAAACGGCAAAACCAACATTGCTTTGTTGTGGTAAAATTTTAATACAGCTTGAACGCCTGTACCAATCTCCATTATATTTGGAACGAATATCATTATACCTGAGGATATTTCAACGGCGTGATTCACAAATCCGTCCGATCAGTAGTACCAACACTGCTGTCTCTCAAGTGAGAGACTGATTGAAATAACGACAATATTAATTGAATACCGTGACGGTTCGTCATGAAACTTCGTATGAACATCATGCCTTGAGAGGCCATCTAAATGATGTAGTCAGAAGTCCTTCCTGTCAGTAATACCAACACTGAAAACTCTCAAATCTTATTGTTGACTGACTTCATTATGTAGACATACTAACACTTCTTTCTACTTCTCGTATTATGTACTCAGATTGCAATGAAGCTATCCGAGTAACTGGCCGCGGAGCCCCATGGGGCTGTGAGACGTCGAGTCTCCCACATTTTGAATACAATTGGCTCACATATGGCGGTGAGGTTCAGCCTTACGCTCCGGCCGCCCTTTGCCCACAGGAAGGTTCCTGGTGCTTTTTCTGTTAGACACCGAGTTGAACTTACGGTCACAATGCGGCTGGAAAGATTAGTTAATTGGAAATGCCAATGACTTAATCGCGAATCGAACCGTGAGCTTCCGGCTCAACCACCTACACTGCCTCGTCTTTTCAATCTGAGATTGTAGTGAGTGGATAGAAGGCCCGATTGAATTCATTACGGATACACAGATTCTAAATTTTCTTGCTACTTGTGGTGAAGGAAAGTAGGCCATTAGTTCTTCCCAGAACTTCCTGTTTTCATTTGTTGTTTAGACGACGCTATGAGTATCGAGACTACATAGTGACAATGACAGAATTATTACTAAATGTTCGTATAATGAGAACTGGCAGGGGAAACTGAAGTACTAGGAGAAATCCTTCCTAGTGTAGTGCCACATTCTTCGCCACAAATCCCATATATTCATCATCATCATCATCAGTAATCTGTCAAGACGACAGGTCCACAGTCTCTTCCAAAACAATTCCTCCACCCAATNGTAACTTCTGTAAAGTCCTTGGGCCACTCTCCACTTTCATATATGGTGTTCATTAGTTTTGTCAGTGTTTTCAAACCACCTTCTCCCATATATTATCTGGTGTCAAAATCTGGCCTCCACGGTGGCAACCAGGCGACTCTCTGCCTGAGTTATGTCAAGGCCAACAGTATGTTTATATTATCACGTATATTACTGACTATAGAAGGGGTTTGCATTGGTGAACAGATGTACTGACCACATACAGGACATAAATACAAATAAATATAGCACTATTGCTGATTCCCACATTACAAATCACTCCACACTGTCTTCTCAGTCTTTCACTAGTCTTCACTTGGTAACACTCTCAGTAATGGCTAATCCTTTGCAATTTTTTACTAGACATTTCCTGGTAACGAATATTCAGCTTCCATTGTCCGCTGGTTAACATTCGACAACCAAACTTTCGATTTTCAACTCTTCCACTGAACGGCCTCAACCGCACTACACTCACTCGCTGAACAGATCTCGGTCGGTCCAGTCATATAGCCTCAGAGTGGAGTTTCAGAGAATACAGCCTGCAACACCTCTTCAATTGTTGCGTGACGTCAACGAGCACACGTATTTGGCGGGCGCTACATAGCAACATCCGCTGTTTGCAGAGTCACCGCTTAGCAACGCGCCTGTACGCCACAACATGTTTCGTTTCAGTATGTTAGTCACATTTAATGTCGTACTAATTATAACTGTTCGGGTACGTTATATCGAGCTGTATGTAATACGTCTGGGTTTTATTGGCGACGTACTCTCTTAATGACCGTGGCAATGCCTACTGCCTGAGGTCAGAGTCTAGATCTGTGCGTGTTTAATGAAACAGTGAACTGATAGACTGCGGTTAATTTAACGACACTGTCATTAGGTCTGATTGCAGGGCGTCGAATCAGAAGAAGAATCTAGTAAAACAGAGAACTCAAAGCGATATGAAACTGAACAGTCGTGGCCTGAGATGATTACTGTCCCGGTCTTTGCCCCCAAGCGCTGGGGACACCATGAAAACTTTTGTAAGGATAACTTGTCTACAGGCCCGGATAGGAACGCAGACGTTCTCAAATATTAAAACGGAATGCTAACTTCTCTCGTGCGAATAGCCGTGTTTTGTATATAGTAATTCCGACATAATATCAGTATAATGAATGAATGAACGATTGTCATAGAATTTTACTGAAGTTGAGGCTTTATGTGTTCGGTAACCCGTTATCCGCTGCCCTTGAAGATTTCGAGAGGCGTATGTGCATGGGCTGGGGTTAGACCTGGTTTTCAGAACTCGCACTGGGAAAGCTCCATATGATGGCCCTCTTAATGTCGTTGGGTTGAGTTTTTATAGCTTCCGTTCATGAAAGTTTCACCATCAGCGAACTGTATATATCTATTGGACAGGGCTCTTGGAGCAATGGAACTTCCGTTAACAATTAATGGATGGTTTCCCCGTCTTCATGCAGCTCAACTGAGACTGCATTATTTAAAATTGCATAAAGTTTAAGTAATCTTCTGACTTAGTTCCAGGAGAAATTTTGTGATCGTGTTCCAGACTTCAATTCCTGCACAGAATGGCAAGGCGCAGCTTAGTTCAAGCAGTTCTAGTCTCGGAATATTTTAAAAGAAGCCACACTTACTTACTTATTTACTCGTGGAGCTGAGCCCTTCTAGAGGAGCCGCCAATTCTGAAACTACTCAAGAATTTCTTAGAATTTTATGGAAGCCGAAGGTTTCTTACTATGTACACAAGAGCCTTCCACTGGCCCCTATCCTGAGCTAGATCAATCCAATCCATCCCATCCCTTCCTATCTCTCTAAGATCCATTTTAATATTGTCCACCCACTTACGCCTTGGTCTTACCAGTGGTCTATTTCCTTCTAACTTCCCCACCAATATCCTATATGCGTTCCTCGTCTCCCCATTCGTGCTACATGTTGTGCAAACCTCATCCTCTTTGACTTGAACATTCTAATTATACTTGGAGGAAAATACAAGTTATGATCTAAGACAGGCCACATGGGAAATAAATGTTTTTCATCATTAAATTCAATAAAGAGAAATGTAGAAAGGAAAGTCATTTTCATCACTATATTAAGTGAAGAAGTCGACGACAGAAGCATCATGACACGAAACAAAGGCAGAGGCAGGGCATGGCAACAAGCAGCTCTCATCGTGACATTAACTACCGGAGAACTTTGTAGTTGCACTTCTCCCAGCAAGAGAACTTTGGCATACAGCCGCTCTAAATGTATTGTTTATTAATTTCGCATCGCATTCTCACTCCGTTTCTACTTGCATCTACTAATTAAGTTGTAGTGAAAGTAAAGCAGGTAATTACTTCTTCCCAGAACTTCTTGTTTTATTTCATTCTACTAAACGTCTACATTATCACCTTCATTAATAAGTGGTGAGGACTGGAGTGATGATAAACTGATTTTTACATTATGACACAAAGTACACATACCACCTACATCTGGGTTGGTAAAAAAAAAAGAAAGAACTTCTGGGAAGAATGAATCGCCTGCTATCCGTTGATACATGGATCGTAACTAAATCGATGCCTCCGAGATTTCTTCGTTGCCGCAGGAACATCTTCATTGAGTTGATACTTAACAACGATAGAGCGATACACAGGCACACCTACAGAAATAAGCGTAAAATAGTTCTGTTATTACTGCTTGTGTAACGTTCTTACCGAGCCGTTACCTAGCTGCAATAACAACACCCCTTTACTGGGTTCAGGTATCATGATATAATACAAAGTTGCATAGATATTGGTCATCCACCCAAAAGTCAATATAATGGGAATCACAGACACACATAGAGCATGGAGATCCTTTACGAATGTAGACTAAAAATCTGTACCTAATGTTAGATTTAGGAGTTAAATCAAAGGCAGAAACCGAAACCAGCTTCTAAACTTTCATTTTATAGGTAAAATAAACATGGCAGTGGCATGGTATTTCTAGGCCGTATAATCCTCTTTATACATACAGATTTTAATCGGAGCAAATTTTACCATAAATTATGACAGTAGAGACAAGATTCTATGTATATATTTTGGAATATTTACAAATATACACGTTATAATTATCATCACATTTACACTCTATGCCGAATATATATATATATATACTATTAGTATAATATATTTCAGCATCCTGTTGCACTGGTTAATCCACTGAGCTGCAGGGCAAGTCTTTGAGGTGAAACTTGTTACCGTGGTGTGCCACGTTGTCCTGTAATATAGTACTTTTTCTTCTACAGCACTTTTCGACAATGAAGGACAAGGTGGCACACCACGACAAGAAGATGCACCTTCAAACTTCCCTCCGGTGAATTAAATGTTCAATAAATTTTTGCGGACTTTCCAAAACATAAAAGTGTTAACAGTTATTTAATAGACATTAGTTTTAAAGGTTTGCCATTAAGAAATCTGTGAATAAGTGCAGAGGTTTCGTTTAGAGGTTTGTGGTTAGTAACTGAATCCAGAGACATTGAGTTTTTCAGCAAATATGAAACAGTTCTGCTGCTACATACAAATTCGCTGTTACTGAAATCCATATATCAACACGCTCACCCTCCGTCCTTATGTTTGGTGTCGAACGATGCATGCATTTAAAAAACCATGCCAAAGGCATGTGTCTATGTTTAGTCAAAACTTATTCCAAATAGGGTGAAAGTAATAACCACAGTCTGTGCCTTAATGGTTTGGTTGTTTGGACTTGACGGGTAAACTCGATAAGAAGGTGCACAAACACAGTAGCAGCAGATGTCCGCCATTACAGTCTATCACAGAGGCAAAGCGTGAACAAAATGTCGGCTATATAGCACTGCACACAGATACCTGAAAACACCGGTATGAATGCGCTCTACTCACAGATTTGCCGTTCACCAGCCAAGTGATGTGGGCTATGGGCCGCGATGGGCTGGTTGTACAGTTCGCCTCTAACGTCTCTCCCACCTGATAGACCGGCTTTGATGTCAGTACTTGTGGCGGGTCTCGCTGCGTCTCTGTGCAAACAAAGCGACAATCCATGAAACTCAACACTACATCTGTATCGGCTGCAGATCGTCGCAAGTCAAGACTTCCCTCTTCATGCGGGGGGGGGCACTATTTCCCTAGCTACAACTGTAGTAGTCGTCCTAGAAAATTTCAATTCTGCCTGTAGTTTTGCATGGGCGTGAAATACTAAGGGAAGAACACAGACTGAAGGCATTTGAGAACAGGGTGTTGAGAATATTTGGACTGAACAGAGATGAAGTGACAGGAGGCTGGAGGAAACTGCATAATGAGCTTCGTAACTTGTACTCTTCGTCAAATGCGAGTATAAATAGAATGGCCATGAAATAATGTAATGGGCAGGGCATGCAGCAGGCTTGGGAAAACAGGAATGCATTCAGGGTTTCGGCGGGAAACCAGAAGGAAAAGCAAACTAGGAAGAATTGTATGTAGGCGGCAGAGCAACATTAAAATGGATCTTAGAGAAAGAGAGTTCAGTGTTATTGATTGGATTAATATGGCTCAGGATGGGGACCAGTGAAGGACTCTTGCGCAAACTGTAATGAACCTAATGAATTCTCCAGTAGCTGAGTAACCTGTTGCGTCTGAATAAGGACTGAACTCCGTGCACTTACTTCGTTATCTGGCTCCACCAGGGATGGGACGGCCAGGAACACGTTTAGAGATATCTCTGTAATGTATCGCTCAACATTCTTATGCGATCTCCATGCTGTCCGTGTATCTGTGATTCCATCAGTAAATTTTGAATGCCTCAACCAATATTTATGAAACTTGGTACATATAATATTGCACCTGAACCCATCACAACGGCGTAATTCATAAATCCCTCTCATTAGTTTGTCTGCCTATCATGTATATCGTTGTTAGGAAACGGCTCGGTAGACACGTTCCCGAGGCACAGAATACATGAAACATATAAGAATTATTGGAACATGTGTGTCTGTGGGTCTTTCTATGTATCCTTCTGTCGTTGCCAGGTAAGAACTAGGTAAAGACATTCCCGTGGCAAAGATGAATTTTTGGAGACCTCGCTTCTTGTGCGGTTGTGTCGCATCAAAGAAAGGTAGACGATTAGTTCTTGCCAGAACTTATTGTTTTAAATAGGGTTCAAACTACAAAACCTTCTTCGTGCCTCGCCATCTGAAAATTCACAACTGTACACGACAAAATGTGTCCGTTATATCCGAGTCTGTTATAACGAGGATTACCGTATTGTAGGCTGCGAATGGGGCTGCTGACTGGCCGATGTAATCCGTCCTGTGAATCTAGGAAAGCGCTACATTCAGGACACGCAAACCAGAGGAAGAATCCTTCTAAGACAAGATTTTGCCGCGCAGCAGCTCAAGCGGTTAGTCGCTAGCTTCCCACCGCGGCGGTCCGGGTTCAAAGCAGAGTCTGGTCAAATGGGATTTGTGGTGGACAAAGTGGCGCTGGGGCGGGTTTTCTCCGATTACTTCGGTTTCCCCTGCCAATCTTCATTCTCCCAAATTCTCCATCATCATAATCACCCATGGAAGGCTACAATAGGCCAATCAGTGGCCGCCGTGCCTAGTGGACCCAACAGAACTCCACCTCCCACTATGCGAATTAAAAGACATAATTTATCAATGCTCCACTTTGACTAGACATGCAAAAGATATACTGACGTCAGGAGGTCCTCAGTTAGGATGTTTCTGCTATGGCATTACAGCCATGGTTCTTTGAAGGGCTCGAGCGATGTCGGGGGTGTACGATGGGCCCAGCAGCGGTCTGAGTGCCTGGGACAGCTGTAAGTTGCACCCCCCATAACCAAATAGGATAAAACCACAATAAATGCTCTGCTGCGACAAAATCGTTGCAGCAGACTTCATCACCAGGAATCACAAAAGATTCTGTTTGCACAGACTTCATTGCAAACCAATAAACCTGAATGCCTACATCCAATCTGTATTTATGAGTTAGGTGAAGGAAAAATGGCTTCGGGAAGAGTTTATAAAGTACGGGTAGTTAAACATTATGCCCAGCCAGCAAGTACCTCAGATATTATTGTAGCGTTTAGGGATGTTGCTATTTAACGACCGCGAGATGCCGGATACACCAGGGCCGTTTCTGGACAACGGCTCAGTAAACACGTTACCACAGAAACAGACACGAAAGCAACAATAGAGCTGTGTTTTCTATGTGGTCTGTGCCAAGGTGTTATAAGCAATGGACAAGTTTAGAACTTAGTTCTGTGCAGGAGTCTGTGAAGAGAGAACTTGAGCAGGAAGCAGAGGAATAACCATTGTTGGAGTCGTTACCAGGAAACGTCTAGTAACAGACTGAGAACACTAGACCGTGTGCTCTAGTGACCTGTGAATTGTGGAAATAGCGATACTTTTATAATATTATAGTTAGGATCTCTGTAATTGGCCAATAAATTCAAACCCCGTCTATAGTGACCCCTATTACGTGACATAAAGATGGTATTTATTAATTTTTAATTTCTTGCGCACCTTAAAGAGATGGCATTGCTATTGCTAAAATTACACAAAAATATATTGTCTCAATTTAGATAGGAATTCAGCGTCCGTAAGTACACATATTTACTGTTCTAAATCGTGGGCTTGAAACAGATGAACGAGTCTCGCTCCAGATTTAGTGTCGAAATATTTCCAGACAAATGCAGATTTAGGAGGATCTTTGCAAATCAATCATTAACTAGCGATCCTGTACAGAAAAATCTACAATACGAAGTCTGCATGGCGTGGTTCCGAACATTTTGCTTTTTCGAGGTAACTTACGTTCAAATTTTATTAGCGATAAACATATTCTCTTTCCTTCTTATATCCCTTTAGCTTTTTTCTTATATTTTCCATTTCTTTATCCAGGATTTATTTTTTTGCCTCTTGTCAGCCTTACCTGGACTGCCCCCCTCCCCTTCTCACGCTCCTTCAAGTTAAAACATTCCCTCACCTTCGTTCTTCCTTATCTTCAACTATTTTGTAGTTTCATCTCCTTTCGTCTTATCTCCTGTATTTTTACAACGTTAATTGCTGTTGGCCTTCGCCAGCACAGTCATTTTTCGTTCCGTGTCCCGCGGGACCCATGATTGTACTCGTATTTTTCTGCCTCACTAACCCGAGTCTTCACGCTATCTCTATTTCTTTCCTCCCACAGTGCACTTCCATCCGCTTTATATGCTCCCTCTCTCTCGCCCCTCTCTCGTATCTACCAACAGCACGAACATCAGAAGAAAGTTTGGGGTTTCCTCATATCCTTGCAACGACAGAAAGAGAGGCCAGTAAGCAACATCTGATAATACCTATGGCGTTTGTCCTTGAAGTCTGTAACCTCAGTTTCTATTGTACACTGAACAAAGTGGAACCAACTTAGTTTTAGAGTAAGTTCTCTTACGTAGGACTCCAGACAACTAAAGCAAGAAATCTGCAAGTCACTAAAGAACTTCTGCAGTTTATTTCTTCATACACATATTTCAATCTCGCCAATAGCCACAGTTAACTCATTTATACAAGTCGGACGATGCCTGAACCAAAATACGGCCATGGGTCCCAGCGGGGCCCGATGCCAGGAGTGACTGTGCCGACTGACTACCAGCAGTTAGCTTCTTCTCTGCTCTGCTCATATGTAGAGGGACCTGACCCTTGAAAACTGATTATGTACAATTTTTTTTTTCCTTGGCACTACAGGCCTAGAGGGCCTAGGCCTACCTCCATGAACTTCTCCGTTCACTTTGGTTTTTCTAGATCTTACACATTCGCTAGGGCGGGTGATCAGCTCGTCGCAAGGCCTCTACCTGTACACAAACACAGAAAATCGCACACACATATACTAAACATCCATGCCCTGAGTGGGATTCGAACCCAATATCCCGGTTTCAAGGCGAGCGAAGACAGTACATGCCTTACACCGCTCGGCCATCGTGTCGGGCCATGTACAAATACCGACATGTATATATAGATGTAAATACAGAAGACGTGTACTACTAATTTTGACAGCTGTCTATGAAGGTCTGACAGAAACAAAAATTTTGTCTTGGGCCCCAGTGAGGTTCGACACCTACACCGACTGGCTGACTGACCGTCAGTCGTAACGTGACTTTGACTACTTGGTTATTCCTGAGACATTAGGTGTTTAGAGACATGCCAGACAGTCGACAGCCAGAGAGCAAAGGAGCCCCTGAACACGAAAGCTAAGGAATCTACAGCGTTGAGAACCGTTACCAAGCAATGCCTAGTGGATGTACAGAAAACTTAGTGCGTGCCATAGTAAATTGTAGAGTGCGTGATTTCGCCATAGCGCTATAATTAATTGTATTTTTTATTGCCAGTGGGCTGGGACTTTGTACTGCGGCCACTTCCGGCCTATTGTACCAGCGCCAGATGATAAGTGAGGGTGATTGTGGAGCAATTGGTGGAATGAAGATTGGCAGGGAACCAAAGTACTCGGAGAACCCCTGCCCCAGTGCCACTTTGTACACCACACATCCCACTTGATCAAATCCGGATCCAACCCGGGCCGCCGCGGTGGGAAGCCAGCGACTAACCGCTTGAGGTATGGCGCGGCCTCAATTAATTGTACGTATTTACTACTTGTAAGAGAAAAATGAATCCAGTTGTCACTCTAAACCCCGTATCTAGTGACTAAACATGTAGCAATATTAGTACGATCTTGCACTATAACAGCAGCAACAACAGCAATGCGATGAGACTTGATCCCCTGGCTTTGGGTCCATAAATAAGCCTATGATGGAAAAGTATGAATTATGGATAGAATGATGAGTATCAAAAGAAATGTTACAAGTATTATATTTTTGGACATTATCCATTGCCTTGTCTATTTTTAAAAAAAATTAGTCCTCTTTCTTTTTTAAAACACAACGTTTCGGAAACTGGATTCTGTCCCCTTCCTCAGGGAAAACCTACTCAGTTGGGTCCAATAGATAGAGCTAGCCCCTCTCTCAGTCCGGAGACTGGATTCTGTCACCGTCCTCAGTTAAAACCTACTCAGTTGGGTCCAATAGATAGAGCTAGCCCCTCTCTCAGTCCGGAGACTGGATTCTGTCACCGTCCTCAGTTAAAACCTACTCAGTTGGGTCCAATAGATAGAGCTAGCCCCTCTCTCAGTCCGGAGACTGGATTCTGTCACCGTCCTCAGTTAAAACCTACTCAGTTGGGTCCAATAGATAGAGCTAGCCCCTCTCTCAGTCCGGAGACTGGATTCTGTCACCGTCCTCAGTTAAAACCTACTCAGTTGGGTCCAATAGATAGAGCTAGCCCCTCTCTCAGTCCGGAGACTGGATTCTGTCACCGTCCTCAGTTAAAACCTACTCAGTCGGATCCAATAGATAGAGCTAGCTCCTATCTCAGTGCGGAGACTGGATTCTGTCCTCGTCCTCAGTTAAAAATTACTCAGTAGTGTCCAATAGATAGAGCTAGCCCCTATCTCAGCCCGGAGACTAGATTCTGTCCTCGTCCTCAGTTAAAACCTACTCAGTTGGGTCCAATAGACAGAGCTAGCCCTTATCTCGGTCCGGAGACTGGATTCTGTCCTCGTCCTCAGTTAAAACCTACTCAGTTGTTTTCAACAGATAGAGCTAACCCCTATCTCAGTCCGGAGACTGGATTCTGTCCCCGTTCTCGGTTAAAACCTACTCAGTTGGGTCCAATAGATAGAGCTAGCTCATATCTCAGTCCGGAGGCTGGATTCTGTCCCCGTTATCGGTTAAAACCTACTCAGTTGTGTCCAATAGATAGAGCTAACTCCTATCTCAGCCCGGAGACTGGATTCTGTCCCCGTTCTCGGTTAAAACCTACTCAGTTGGGTCCAATAAATAGAACTAGCTCCTATCTTCGGACCGAAATAAGGGCTAGCTCTATCTATTTGACCCAACTGTGACATTCTGCTCACCATAAACTCCACACCGACTGGTCCCACTCTTAAGACTCCGGACACAATGCGCTTGATCTGCGATATAACCAATGATTGTACTTACCATTGACACTTACATGTATACATCACTGCAGCTAACTTCATTAATTAAGCTTTCATTGTAACCGTATAAAAAACGATGTTTCTATTTTGCAATTATCCCACAGAGTTTTAAAACTAGTAACGGAATTTACACGGACGAATTTTTAAGTGACGCTGAGGGTTCCGGGAAAAGTTATTTACAAATCATTACATTGGCTCGCGATCACTTGTAAGTGGTGCACTTCGTATATTACGGAAAAGAAGATTCTTCCCGTTTAGGTAGAGGACTCGCCGATTATGAACACTTTTCAGTCGTGTGATGTTAATAACATTCGTTCTTCCGAGCTTAATAACAGCAGTTCTGTCGAGTTTAACCTCAAAGTCTGCTTCAGACTTCTCCACTCTTCTCTGTGAACGCCATTTCGGAAATTGTTGTAATATCAGAGGATTGCGTGTTGATATTCTGTTCAATGACTTTTCATTTCCCAGTAGGCTAGCAAGGGATGGAATGGTACCCTCTGGGAAGAATGGAGCTACTGAATCCAAGCACCATGTAATGCAACAAGTTTTCTAATCAATAAATGACTGTATGATCCAACATATGTCAACGCTTAGACCATCGGCAGGGGCGTCCAAATAAATATAAAAGGAAACTTTACATCTTAATTATTAACAGATTCTAGAAGGTTCTGACGATGGTGGATGACATACAGAATTACTGGGTTTTGGACTTCTTACTTCGTCCTAAATTATAGGTAATATTACCTAGAATTCCGGAGGATGGAAGATTACAAAAAACAGTAATTCTCTGTGTTAATCATTAATACCACGCACAGTACTTAGAACTTGATCATAAAGAAAGCCATTTAAAATAATATTGATATTTGAAATCAAGATGACCTGTGATAAGGAAGAAGCGCACAATCAGTAGGCACACACACCTTTCATGTAGAAGGCTTTTATGGTGTGCGTAATTATAATAAAGTGTTACAGAATTTGTATTAATTAATTTTCTTTTGCATTAGTTTATTATCTCTTTACTACTTACTGAGGAGCCGAGATAACGTATAAGGTATAATGACGACCTACTGGCTGGTTGGTTCGGGTTCGATTCCCGACAGAGGGATGAGATTTTTCTTTCCTACACAGCGTCAAGGTAGGTTCCAGTGTCCCCCCAGTATCCTATCCAATGGGTAACGGGGTCTCCTTCTTCGGTGGTAAAGCGGCCGAAGCGTGAAGTTGATCACTCGCCTTCATCCAGTGCCTAGGTCAAGAATGGTGGAGCTATACCTCCACTCTCCCATGTCTTCATAGCGTAGCGCTTAATTAATTAAGCACAGAGACAACTTAACATTACCTTACCTAAAGTTGTATTTGAAACAGGTTTGTCTACACTTATACGAATATTTAGTAGGTATGCAATTATTCTGTATTAGGAGTTTCGTAGTTTCCATAAGTCCTTCCAGGCAGGCACTGGGATGGTACACCAATTATATCACGAACCTTCGAAATCCAATTCCAACTCATCAATCATCCTACCGTCCGAAACCACATAGTCTCAATACTGAACGTATAATTAAATAACTTCAAAAAATTTAATTAATCGTCAGTTGTTTAATCTGTCCTGTGACATGGTCTCTTAGTGAACTTTGTGTGCTTTATTAGTAGACTGATTTTCGGTCGACTTTGTGATAACATATATATATATCCACAAGGCGATCCTAAGGCATTCGTGTTGTAGAAAAGAATTTATCCCTGGAATTTAAATTTACATTTACATTTACAAATTTACATTTGGATTTTTATTGGTCTATTAATTGGCTTAGATTCTTTGTACTCTCGTGCTCTGAATTCAATGTGAGCAGCGGAACGGTAGTAACGGTCCTGCTATCTTCACCTCCATCCAGTGCCCAAGTCAAGAAGAGTGGAGATATACCTCCACTCTCACATATGCCTTCATAGCCTGCTCCTCGGTTAATTACTCGTAGTTGACAACTAGTAAAATAATTACGGGCAGTTGAGAGAGCTAACGAAGAGATTGTGATGACAGAATGATTTCTGGGATTTGATTTGTCATGTTGTGTTATTAAAGACAGGTTAGCGAGGTTACTTCTGTCTTATACGCATAGGAGCTGAATGCTTGTGATTAATTTTAACGTACAGTTGTTCTTCAACTGCTGTTAATCTATATGTCACTACCCGAATATCCATTTCGAAGTTCTGAATATTCGTTGAAGAGTTTTTAATGAATCAGCATCGCACACGTCATTATTTGCTGCTTTTAGACTTATAGTGGTTTTTGTATTGGAGAAGATAAATATATTATTAAGAACGCAGGGGTATTGAGGGTAATTAAATTGCCGATGAACTGACAAGACTGGGATCTGAATGTCCTCTCAGAGGACCTGAACCAGCATGAGGGATCTCAGCAGGCTGCCAGGGACTGGAGACCAAGAAATACCGGGACTTCCTAACAGGACTAAAACATGCAAAGGAATTTCAGATAGGAACCTCTTCCAAAAGAACTGAGGAGTAATTAAAATGAACAGAAATCCGTTCCGACAGGTGAGTGACTACTTAGGGGACATGTCACCTGAAAGGACACATTTTCATATTCGGATTAACAAACAATCGTAATGTGACACGTGCCTGCAAAAAGAGTAATCATCCTCACATATCCTGTGTGACTGTGAGGCCGCGGCCTACTTAAGAATTCGTCACCCCGGGACACTACTTCTTCGAAGTATACGATTGTTGAAGTGTTGAAAAACAGGGTAAAATATTAAAAAGGGTAAGATTTTCCTGTGCTTAAATATAATTTCGCGTTATGATATGAAGACTTTGACAATAGTGCTTAGCTTCATGACTAAGGAAATCACCCCTGTACCCATTGGATAGGAGGCTGATAGGGTCCCAGAAATGATTTGACCGCCGTGGAGTAAACAAAAGTTCCTTACGATTTCCCAGGACTTTACCTCTCGCTGTAGCGACTGAGCTATCCCAGCTTCGTTGAAATAGAAGGGGATGCACAGTACAGCACGGATCCTAATGCAAGGACAGGTCAAGGCACTCCCTTATTCATTCATTTAAGGTAACATGAATGCAGCGTAAGATATCATGGCTATTAGAGAGGAGAGTGCTATGATTGCGGTTACAACCACTTGGAGCACGGAAGGTACACTTACGTATGACAGTCAACTCATGTTCGTTGGACGGCTTCGTGTAGATGGGTGTCTGTGTCGATACCACACAAGCGTAGGAGCCGGACCCTTCGAAGTCCATGTTCCGGAGTAGAATCTGACTCTCGTTGCTGCCGTTCCACTGCAACAGAACGACACAGACTCTTACTGCGAATTCATGTTCCGGAGTAGAATCTGACTCTCGTTGCTGCCCTTCCACTGCAACAGAACGACACAGACTTTTACTGCGAATTCATGTTCCGGAGTAGAGTCTGACTCTCGTTGCTGCCGTTCCACGGCAACAGAATGACAGGCTTTTACTCCGAGATGACAGATGCTGCGTTATACAGAGTGGCAGAGACGGTCTCAGTTCCAAGTCTCTCCCCTCCGGCAGCAAATATGACAACTTCCTTTCGGTTCTAAACGTTTTTCCAAGCACGATAAAAATTGTACCATTATTAATAATTCTCAAATTACTATTTATTTCTGCTGAATAATTTGTAAAATATGTAAAACTATTTACAGCATATGAAGAGTGTGCTACACATCATTTGAATGCAGTTAAAGGAGGCAGTTGGTGGCCAGCTGAAGACCGTCTTAGAAGTTTAACGAATATTTCAGTGTCTTCTGAATCACAGCAGCGTGTAACTAATCAGCTTACTAACTACATGAAGCAGAGCCTTTGATATTTGTAATTTGAGACGCTTAGAGTTCCTTGGGCTATACAGCATGGGATAAACAGATGATTTATGAACTGTGTTGTACATATCATCACCGTGTTTCATATGGACATAATTGTACTCGTAGTCTATATGTAGACCCACATTATCATTGTTGTATTGAACATTCGTGGCAGTAAAGCCGCCAGACCGTGAAGCTGACAATTCCGCTGAGTCTACTGATAAACCATCTTCATGGTGCGATACTCAATCAAGTACAAGGAAAAATAAATTTAACTTTACTTTCAAATTTTAGTGTATGGGCATTATAACCCTTGTTACTAATTTTTATACGACTCTCCTCGTTCCTAGCTGAAACATACTAACTAATTAAATCCACGGGGCAGAACCCTTTTTGAGAAATCCCAGTCCCTCAGCCTCTAAATAAATCCAAAATAATTTATGGTACCCGGAAATCCATTATCGTGTTCACAACAGTCCTCCACTTACCCCCACCCTGAGTAAGCTGAATCCAGTCCCTACGGCATATTTATCTGAGAACCATCTGAATCCTCCCACCTATGTCTAGGACTTCAATCTATAAGGGGTGGGCATTCTTGGCCCTTGCACCGCGACCAGTGATCTATTGTGCCTTACGTCTAGGACTTACTGGTGGCCTCTTTCCTTTCGGCTTTCCCACCAAATCCTCTATTCACTCGTCCCTCCCCATACTTCTACATTCGAACACTAACACATTGTAGCTGTGTTGTAACACTTGTGTTACAACATTGCGCTTTCTGAGGATACTGCAGATACACAGTAAACAAGTTACATTAAACTTTAAACGCGGAAGCAACATGCTGACTCATGTATAAGTCAGCCGAGTTGTGAGTGCCCGCGGCCGAAATGCGAACTACTCTCTGATGAGTGCTGAGGACAGTAGCGAAGAAATAAACATCTCTAGCACCAGCCTAGACGAAACAGTGAAGTACTCAGTTCCTCCCGCAGAGTGCTTCGTGTTCTTAACGGCTACCCATTGACGATTAAACCAGGCCCTATCAACAGGTTGCCACCAACCAGGGAATCCGCCTGATGTAAAAATGAACAGGCTCCACAACAATGTTTAGAGATGTGAGCAAGTAGCCTACCCATGCCAATCCAATTTCACAATGTAGGGATTTGTGTGTGTCTGTTCTTAAGATACACAGAAGTTCAATATCTTTACAAAGTGTAAAAACAAACATTAGCAATAGTTCCCACACGGAAAGCTCCGCAGAAAAGCAGGAACTAATGTTCACAATAGTAGCTCTCTGAGGAGAGGGTCGTTCAAAACGTGCTTCAATCTGCAATGAAGCAAAGGATGCCGAAGGATTTGCCGCTGATGTGGAAGCAGCAGTCACAAGGGAAGCGAGGGTGATGAGAAAGATTACGCACGGACTTCGTAGAAAGCAGAACAAGTGAGAGTAAGTTTGCACCGCCTCGAATCGTACGCGATACGAGGAAAAGAAAATTATCTTGCTGATTTCGGAGAGTGTCGTATGCGTACAGTAATACCAGAACACTGCGAGATAAGAAAGATATTCTCACTTTGCGCAAACTGCCCATCTTCGTGACAAATTATGCTGGATTTCACGGAGAAGAGGGAAATTTTCGGAAAATGGTGAAATGCATGAGGTTCTGAATTAAATAGTGTATAAATAGAAGATATCTTTTAATTGAAGGACAAGACACTGCTTCTCGATGTGCCACAAACTTGACAATTCCAACACATAGTGGCAAAGGGCTGAGGAATCTAACCGTATATTCAGATGAGGCCTGGGTTCATATCCATTGCACAATGAAAACTATTGACCTCATGACGAAATTTCGGGAGTAATGGTAGAGACAAGTGCAGGACCGAGGGCTATATTTATTCCCATGTTGCTGGCAGCATGTACAGAACAAAATGTAAGAAGCTGGAAGAGAAAATTATTCCCAATATGCACCTTCCAGTACTGTTTTAACTTATCACGCATTACACCACATATACAAGAAAACGTCAGGTCAAGGCACGCTTTATAATACTTCTGCAAGGTAATAAAACTGCCGCTGATTCGCAATTAACAAAAAAGAAATCACGCAAACTGTGACACTGTAAAAACCGGAATCTCTTTTTAATTTGGACAGAATTTTGCAGGGAAAAAATGATTCACTGTTTTGCGACCCTCTTCATACCAATGTGATTTAAATACAGCAGAAGTATTGCATAATTTAATAAAATAAAAATCTGTTTCAAATATTTATTCTAGTGTTATAATATTCTTTAAAGAATTGGCAAGGAAGAGTGTGGGTGAAGTAAGGCAAGCTTGTAACCACGTGAAGACAACTGAAGGACATTATCGGACTTGATGTGGAAAGCAACTGAAAACACAAAGGTCAATAAATGAGCATGAAGTTCTGTCGATAACTGAAGACAGTGGCCGTGCAAAAGGAACTGCATCTAAAGAAATCAACATTCAGCAAACTCGGCTGATAAACGGCGTGAAGACTCATTGGTTTTCGTGTTCCGATCTGTTCAATAAAATCACAACTTCTTTCCTGAAACTTATGGTAATGTCTGCACTCTTTCCTTTATCTAACTGTACAGGTCTCCCTTCTTCTCGGGGTTTGCCACCCTCAGTAATCGTCTAGCGCGGATGGACACAACAGCGTTCTAGCTGCCGAGGCACTCACAGCTTGGTTGGAGTATATTTGTGAAATCCACTGCCTAGCTGGGGCGGGCAAAACAAGCAGTGGCGAAGTATCGATTTGAGGCAAGGTCTAGAAGTAAGGCTCTGTTTGTAAGAGAGCAGATAATGGAATATTCTAGAAGATCACGCCCTTTACTCTTCTGCGTAAACATCTCTACAGAATACCGTATCAATCGCCATGTTTCGCAGTAGAAAACACTGAACGTGGACTGCGCTGTCCTCTGATCGGAAGGATGGGTGCGCTCCATAGCTCCGTAACACTGTTTCAGCCAGTTACTGGTCGCTTTATTTATAAGTCTTTATAAGAGGCTCATGGAAGTGTCCTGTTGGAGTGCGCCATACACCAGACATTTTCTGTCGTCCCCTTTTGTTTAAGTAAACACCTTTCAGAAGCTGCCTCTTCTTGTCGTCAGGTAAAAATATGAAAGCTGTTATACAGAGTTGTCAGTTAATTATTATCCATCTAATTAGGCAACAGCTTACTTTCACACTTATACCTAACGAAGGCCGCGCCATAGCTCAAGCGGTTAGTCGCTGACTTCCCACAGCAGCTGTCCGGGTTCGATCCCGGGTCTGGTCAAGTGGGATTTTTGGTGCACAAAGTGGCGCTGGGACGGATTTTCTCCGAGTACTTCGGCTTCCCTACCAATCTTCATTCCACCAAATCCTCCNGAAACTTTGGCGCACCCTTTGAAATATTCCAGGTGTCTCACGGGTCACGTCACATGCAACAGGTATCCTGGCCAACAGCTCGAATTCATTATCCACCGTGTCGTAGATCAGGCTTTTCACATGGCCCTACACGAAATGGTGCAGAGGTGTCAAGTCTGGGGATCGGGGTGGTCAAGGCACTGGACCTCCACTTCCTATCCAATAACCACGAAAAGCAGTATCCACGTAGTCTCGAGATAAAATGCTGAAGTGTGCCGGCGCTCCGTCATGCTGTATCCACATTTGCCTCCGCACAATCAGTGGCACGTCTTCTAGCAAAGTCTGAAGGCTACTTTCCAGGAGCACCTTGTGAAAGGGCCCATTGAGCCGCGGTGGTAGGAGGAAAGGCCCAATCAAGTGTTCGTCAATGATGCCCGCCCAGACATTGACAGAAAATTGCGCCGGATGGCAAACAACTACAGTAACGTTGGGGTTTCCGTAAGCCCAAAAGTAGCTGTTTTGACAGTTGAACCAGCCATCCCTTGTAAACTGCGCTTCGTCTGTGAATAACACGTGATTCAGGAAGTTTGGCTGATGTAAACACTGGTTCAGTATCCACTGACAAAATTGAACTCGTGGTACGAAGTCAGCTGTACCTACGTCGTGTACTCGCGTTGGATGATACGGATGAAGTTGTTGGTCATGTAGGATCCTCCAAACACTTGATTTTGATGTCCCCACAGTCTTGGCAATGGCACGAGTGCTGGTGGATGGCTGTTCCTCTATGCAATGCAGTTCGATATTGAGGCGCCAATTTTAAACGAAATGGTTTTAAATGCCGCCCTAGCGTTGCTATTTTACTTTTGCGGACATAGCTTCCCATTTTAAGGAACCCTCAGTAGGCTCCTAAATTATGGCACCAAATTCCTGGGACACCCTGTATATCTAACAAAGCAAGATTATCTTCCGGAACACGTTTTTAACTTAGATAATATAGAAAATTTTTATAACTCCTTCATTTTATACCATCATTTCAGGATGAGGTATCAAGTTTTTTCAAAACGCAGCTGCCTAGTGGCAAGAACCTGGCTCCCTGTGTTTAC